CCCCCCCCCTTTTCTTAGCTGCAGAACTATTAAATAACCGACAAATGCAATACGCGTGGGTAAACCTACCAGACATAATGTGCCTACATAATATACCCGTGACAAACAATAATTTATGAAATATATGCATGGAATATTAATTTGAAACCTATTAAAATTTGACAAGAAATGCTAATATTGAAATATTAATAATATAACTAACAACAATTATTATAGGTAGGTACCTATTTTTATCCGTTTTCAATGTATAAATAATATTACGCGTTTGTATATAGACCGCCAAAAACACGATGCATAGTTCATAGTTCCGACGTTGGACAGTTTCGTGTGTTCGCCCAAGTTTTATCCTCTGGAGACATTTCTTATAATATCAAAAATAACTTGACATCGATTTAATTATATAGTGGCCGATACAGAGACGTTATACTTTCCCGCTATTAATTAAAACGATTACATAATTAATTTAGACATTTTAGTCTAGAAAACATAATCGATTCAATTAAAAAGGACACGTGTGTGCAATAATGCCATAACATTACGTCATATTTTGTTTTCGACAGGGGCTATAAATGCCATCGGATAGTAGATAGGTGCCTAATTTAATTTATATTATCCGATCATCCAAAATGTGTATCTAAGTTCTATAGGTGCAATGTGAAAAACATACGTTCACAACTTATTCAGACAAATTTTAATGTAATCATGCGATAAATAGGTATTACTTGTTAATATTATGAATCTATTATAACTGCTGGAAACGTGATGAACGAACATGACGTGCGGTTATATCGAACAGTAAACAAGTTTGTGTTTCACTGCTTATGTCATTACTATTATAAAATATGATTGAAAATAACTACATGATCTGATAACGCATGATGTTTGACAATAGGTACCTAATAAACTTCTCAGTTTACTACGGAATAAAAACAAAAAACACAATTAATGTATAATGAATAATTTTTATAACAATTGAATTAACTGGCCCTCGACAGAAAATAACGAACAAAAGGACTGCGAAGCACATCGGCGATCAACTAAGGTCGCCGATGTGCTTTTTTCTGTAAAAAAAAAAAAACCTTTCGGAGGAGTAAAATTGCTTTTTAATGTAGTTTTAAAACGAAAATAAATTCCACAGAATGTAATTTACTAGGATTCGTGTGGATTTTTAAACTCCGTGCAAAAGTACAATGACCTAAAATTGAAATACAAAGAGAAATATATATAGCACTGTAGGGATGTTCGCTTTTAATCAGCTTTTGGTAGAAATAAAATTTTAATTAAATTAATAAGCTATTCGATTTAAAAGTATTTTACTACAATAAGTCCGTACATTTTCTATAACTTTTATGGAAATACATTTTTTCATATCTCATACCGTTCATGAAGTTTATTAACCTGATTCAATAAAAACAGAATTTTCGCATTTTTTCAATAGTATTAATAATATTCGCTAAAATTTATAAAATTCCTATAGCACTTTTTCGCTCAATGATATTAATCATAATAGAAAAATAATGTTTATAATAATATATTTATCTAATCTCGTATAATTATTTCTTTATATATTCGTACATAAATATCAATCGATTAGATAGTAAACAGATAGAACAGTATAAGCCTGGTGCTTGATTTATTACGATTATTATACTAATGGTGGTTTAATCGTGATAATTGTTTAGTAAAAACCTAACCTTTAAATGTCGTAAAAAAAATTACCTATATATTTACCAAGCAGATAAAATTAACTTTCAGACAAGTTGCTACACTTATACATCGGAGCAAGTTTTACAGGATAAAAATGGTCTATAGCATAATAAAAAAATAAAGTACCATTGTAAAAATATTAAAAAAAAAAAAAAATAGTCACTCGATGATTTTTAAAATTTTACTTCGTCTAGGTAAGTCCAATATAAGTATTATTACCAAGTTTCAAGTTTCTTCGTGTTTTTATAACCGAATCACAGCAAAAACATTCCTAAAAGTTAAAATTCCTTAAAAGCTCAATAATGGCTCAAAAGTTTTGGCAATATTACCTTAAAAAAGTAAATCAAATAGGTAACCGAAAAGGTGTCTTGTGACTTTTCGAGTAAATCATTTTTTTCTGGTAGAAAACGTCGTCCGTGTTTTTATAAAATTATGAAAACGTGAAATTGTAAGTTTTCCTACGTTTTTTTCCCACTTTAGTGCTTTTATTTAAAAAATGACGTTGAAAATCAAAAAAAAAAAAACCTATTTAAAATACAATCTAAGATTTAATAAAAGGTGCTACACCTATACATCGGAGCAAGTTTGTGAGAAAAAAACGTATTCACAGACTAGAACAAAGGAAAAAAAATAAACAGCACTCTAAAACCAATACCTCTTTCGGTATGCTCGGAATCTAAAAAAAACAATATTGTGAAACCAATAACTCCCTAGCTACGCTCGGAATCTTAAAATAGTAACATTAAATGAAAGTTAAGTGAATCAAAAAGAAAAAATAATTACAAAAAAATCAACCCTTAACTTTACCATTAAAGTTTTTACAATTTGATAATACTTCAGAAAATGATACTCCGGTGTGTAGTGATTTATCAACATTAGAGACAAGTATTCCAGTAGAAATAGAAGCTTCTCCAAAAAAAAAATTAATTTTAACACTCGAAAACTGGTCGAAGCTTTAGACGCCTAGGTACCAGTTAAGTTACGGGATTCAGTATACTCGTATGTTCTACAAGCTATTTTTGTTTTTTTTTTTGTTTTTTAATGATAAAAATGTATTTTATAAGATATAAGTATAATTTTAAATAAATGTATATAACATTATAAACATAATTAACCAATAATATTATTTATATTATTAACCATTCGTTACTATTTACCCAGAATATTGTGTTTTTTTACAGTTAAATTAATATATTTTATTGATTGTGTATGAGATATGAAAAAAATATATTTCAATAAAAGTTATAGAAAATTTAATTTACTTTAAATTATTTAAGATAACAAATTTCGATATTTCTAACAGTTAACGAAATATTTACGAAAATGTTGAACATTTTCGTAAATAATGAAAAACGTGTTAAGTTCAAACTTCAAGTTCAATTCGGCACGTATTAAGTTTATCCGATCGACCTAAAATTGTTTGTGGTTTATTTTATTTATATACACACATACATAGGGGTTTAGACCGAAAATATTTTTAAATTGAAAATTAAGAAACACCCTGTAGTATATTGTTTCTAAAACTGAAAATCATTGTTTCTAATATCGAGTACATATTATATAGTTACTCATTTTCGAGTATCTTTTGCTTCCCTGCATGCACCACATAATACTAAACAATTATAAGATAAAACAGTAGGCACTTACTATACTATGTATTACACCCAATAAGTAATAACCACGAGTGAAACTTGTTACAAAACCAACGTCCAAAAGTACGTATGAATATTTTTCGTCTCCTTCGTTTACTTTTTATGTATTTCTCTTGATACGGCGAGCGTTGACTGAGCTCGTGATACAAAGGCATACTTATTGAATACATTACAGAGCCGATATAACCGGCACAGGGTTATCGGTATCGAATAGGCGCCTGTACACGTGAATTATTCAAAGGATTAAAAATGAATTTGTTACGGTCGGACAACTCGTCCAATGTATATTGCACCCAAAAAATTGTAAGCTATGATATTAATACGGGGTGCAGGTACGGGGTGGAACGGCAACAGTATGTGTGTAAGTTTATAAGGCCCATTGAATTTACACGCACGTGCGAGAATTCCGCATTATTCGCGCACCGCCCCCATTCGCCGCCGATTGTTCGGATGACCGGCGGACGAACTGAACGTAATATGCTGGTGGCGCGGCGGCGGTGTTAAATGTCGCATTCGATCCGTCAGCAGACCCGACCGCCGTCGATATTTTGTAAAACCTTTGATATTTAGAACCCCTTTAACGGGCGGGGATGAAATTAAAGGGAGAGGCTAGAGGCACGGATCGCATACTACCTAAACTTAGCAGAGTCGGCCAAACGGACTTTTTTTTTAATAAAAATTATTATAAATTATATTTTACAATCATTGGTCATTTAATTTTTAATAGTGTACCGGCAAACTGTCAAAGTTCTGTTAAAAAACCGTTAATTTTACAGGTTTCAGGAGTCCTGTTTCGTGTTAATGTATGCGTATCAGATAGTCCCGTGCGTAGGTATACAGCAACAGTTAGAATCTAAACTATAAAAATGTATGTTGCTAATCGTTATTTATGTAAATACATTCAAAACTATAGTTCGCTACTTTTATTATTTTATTAATTTATCAATTTAAATAAAAACCGAATATCCAGATAGATAGATACTAATGATAATATTAGTTCCACTGTACAATAGGCACTAAGTACTAACGGTATACACTGACAATTGGACCAAGAAAAATGTCAAGTTTTAAAATTGGGGTAGGGGGCGGGAAATGTATGTTATCCATTATTTATGATCTATGGTTGTAGATCACCAGCATCTAAAAAAATTATATCAAAAATTGACTAGTAACTTTGAAATGATTATGATAATGCGTACAGACTGCAGATATATATAACTAGGTAACTTTCCAACTTCCCACTTACAACAGTGGCACCCATTAGCAGTATCAGTTTTTTTTTTTTAAATTTTAGTATACTATAGTTTAAGATTATTTTTTCTTTTTCAGTAATTTCAGAGATGTTTATCCTTAACTCCTTAGGTACCTACTTACTAGCTTACTCCTACTCAAACAATTTAATGATGATATTTTTTTTGTTTTTTGGTTAGGTACCCACTGGTTTATTACTATATCATCATTATTACTCGTTATCTCATTAGTCATTAAAGACATTCCCATTATAAATTAATCGCAATATACATAAAAAATAAGTAGGTACAAAAAGTGGTGAACAGTGGAATATTTTAAGAACGCAAGCAATTATTAACAAAAATATCCAAACAATTTTTTTCTTCTAAAGGCTTTAATTTTTATTGGTTGGTTTAAATTTAAATAGCATATTTATCCTTAAATAATTGTACAACATTGTGTTATTTTAGTTTTGTTAATGTTCCAATGAAACTGCTAGGGGCAGAAATATGAAATATAAAGCAATGTTACAATATTTTTTCATGACATGTTGCCAATTACAGTAGTTATTATGAATAACTATATTCAGTGGGTTACACGAAATGACTATAATATTCACCGTGCTCGGTTAAGGAAATGAAGACATTTTCTATCAATCGGTGAGCCAAATACTAAAACGTAACTGGAACTTTTTTTTTTCGGTTAAAAACCCTTTTTTAAATACATGATAATAATAGATTTATAGGATATTAATGGACATGAATGAGAAAATCAATTTACAATAATAATACATTAAAAAAAATTAATTATTCCTTTGGTAAAACTGGATGACTAAACAATATCTAATAGTAGGTAGGTAATATAAACAATGAATAAATCCATTGTATCAAAAAAAAAAAAAAATACAACTTAGTATTAAAGTATAAAATACACGTACACACAACAAACACAAAAAAAAAAATAGCTTCAAACAGTAATTAAAATAAATAAGATTGTAAGGATATACAAAAAATACAAACATTAAAGTACGCTAATCTTTCTTCCGATACAAAAATACATTGACCATTAGAATCAGTTCTGTTTTATAGGCTGTGCAAAAATAATCAACATGTGTTCTGGTTATTATTATTATTTTTTTTAATACATAATATATATAAATTTTAAATGGTAACTGTGTTTTTATTGACATGAGTTTTTGTAGGCAGGTCATTGAGCAACTTGACCACTTTTTTCTTAACATTATGTATTAGCTATACGTAAAAAAAATATACATTTATAAAAGAAGACAAAAAGGCAGTCTACTACAAATCTGAGATTTTAAATTATTTTGCTAAGAATATTATGAAGTACCTAGTAGAAGGTCCATACAATTCACTAACATATTATTACAAAATATTCTATGTATACAAAATGCACATGAACAATAAAAAAATATATCTCTATAATAGTTTAAAACAATAGCAATAAATTAAACTATCTTTTCTTTTGTACATATTCATATAAACATTGCACCAAATTGGTTTACAGCACAAATAATAAACATAGGTTCTATTAATAAAAACTAAAAAAAAAATGAACTAATCAAATTTGATCAAGGATATATCAAAGGCAATTTTTATGTTATTGCTTGGTATATATAAATATTAATTTAAATATATTATAATATTATGTATATATTAGGTACAGGTACATTAAATAAATTGTTTGAACTAAAAAAAATCTTCATTGGTCACAGCTTCACATGTTTTTAATATTAACAAAAAATATACTATTTACTTATTTATATGGGAGCCTTCATTGGGGGTTTCTTGGGAGGAGGTGTAGGAGGTTTTATGTTTTCTTGTGAATCCACTATTGGTGATGGCTGTGTACATAGAAAAAAACAAATTATTTGTTTCATGATTTATAATCAAACATAATATAGTGTCCTACAGTGTTATCTATATATGCTTATAACTCTATCAATATTCATTTTTTATTTTTTTTCAATCGGATCTTATGTTGGGACAAACAGTGTAGTGAAAATTAAATTTTTATTTTCATCCCTTAATCACTGAAAAAAAAGTATTTTTTTTTTTTAAATGTTCAAATAACCAATTAGTAAAATATATTACTCTAAAAATTACAATGTATCACACATACATATCCAATCAATAGTTTCTTAGTAATAACTATTTTAATATCTAGAGAAAGGTGTGAAAAACAAGCTACCACGTTACGCAATTATAAATCATAGTCGTAATAAAAGATAAGAAATGTTGAAATTAAAATGGCTATTTACTAAGCATCTACTATTTACTGTTTACTGGCATTTAGTTGATTACTAAGAGACTATTGATCGGATATGTATATGCAATACATTACAATTTTTAGAATAACATATTTTACTAACTATTTTGAACATTTTTAAAAAGTTAGAAATCAGTTATTTTTTTTTTTCAGTGATTAAGGGATGAAAATAAAAATTAAATTTTTCTCAATATTTGTATTCCCCTGACACAAAACCCAATTGAAAAAAAAAATGATTATTGGCATAAGGATAATATTGTAGGACACTTTGTATAACATAATAATATGACTGACCATAATATTGTTCATTATGATAGGACAAGAATAATCTGGCAAGCCCAAACTTTCTTTGTCTGAAAGATTGGAATAATCTGATTCCCTGGTTTTAGCAGGCAGTGGTGGAGGAGTGTCATCATCACTTGCAGTAGAGTCTGTTGCCACTGTTAAAATAAAATGACAATAATTAAAATGTGGGTAATTTAAAATTTAAATGATAATATTTTGTCTGCATACCCAAAGAATCTCTGTTCAGACTGTTCATAGATGGTAACTTTGAAAACTGATATTGACCACTGTTAGGGCGGCGTTTTTCTTTTTCTACTTCTGAACGTAAAGGCCTTTTGGGTGTTAACTAAATTTGTATAATAAACACATATTTACTTATTTACAATTACAAATTACAATAAATAATTATAAAATGTGTAAAAAACATTTTTTTTTTTTTTCTTAAAATTATTTATATTACCTCTTGACGTAACTCAATGACAGGGGAAGAAGTAGAAAACACACTCAGATTACTATTCATAGAAGACATAGACATATTATCAGCATCAGATACAGTATACCATTGACTATTACTAGTAAAGTTGGTGGAAATGCTTGAGTCTCTATCATTTGTTGTTGTTATTTTTGATACAGTCCTGTTACGTCTTTTCTTTTCTTTTTTATCTTTTCTCGTAAGTGCACCAATAGTACCAAATTTATTTGATCCTGAGACTAATACAGGCGCTGCAAAAATGGCAAGGCTTGAAGACAATGAAGTTGTTGCCATATTAGATGATTTGGTTACACCATTTTGTCCTCTGAAAATTAAAATAGAACACTTTTTTTTTGATTTTAAATTCAAATAGATGTAACTAACTTACTCTGTAGATCCAATACTAGAACCAGAATATCTTTTTTCATTAAGACGACTTCCTGTAGTAGTATGCCTTCTCATTTTAATTATATCAAATTTAATATCACATGTCTACAATAAAAAAACCAACTATAAATACATACCGTCTATAATAAAAACAACATAATGGGTACATTAATTTAAGGGGCATTCTGCATTCACCTTTTTTCCATAATTTTCTTCAATGTGCGCTTTCATTTTTTCAAAACAATCTTCAAATCGTAATTGCAAAGGAGTCAAGGATGGAGGTGCTCGTGCGCTATGCACTTTTACACCAATATCCAGTAATGGTATTTGGGATGCCACTAAATCCTTTAATATTTCAATTAGCTGTTCATCTTCTTCATGATTCGAAGAATACTCTGATGTAAAAAATGCTTTTTCATATTTAGTCACTCCACCCATCACAGCTGCGTCCAATATGCCATTCAGTTTCATAGTCAAAGGATTTAATGGCAATGTTGAATCATTCCGATGGGCTATTATCAATTCTCTCAGGTATCTAAAACCAAAAGTTATTAGCCATAAATAAATATTAATATAAAAATACTTTAAAATTTTGATTACTTATTTGTCTCTTGCATATTCTCAATAGCATTTTTAAGAGGACTTATTTCATATGTATCGGAATGTTTAACTGGAAACCATCGTAATATGCCTGGTAATGAGTATGTTGTATCCAACACTGTGCGTTCAATCCACAAATTGGCAAATTCATTATCATCATTTGAATTTACTTTTGGGTCGACTCGGTAAAAAGGTCTTGAGAATTTAAATCGCTTTACATCATTTACTCTAATAATAATAATAATAATAACAATAGTAAAAATTAATTAATATTTAAGTATAGCATATATTAATATATGTGTACATAAAATTAATTTACCTATAATGTCTAAGTATTTGTTTGCTTATGGGTTTTCTTAATAAATGTTCTTTTTGATTATCCATTACAGGTTCAACATTGTTGATTTGAATATCTATATTAATTAACAAATATATATAAGAGTTTTAATTAATAAAATATGATTATGTATCTATGTATGGTTAATATTATAAATACACTAATACTAATTTATGCCACATAAATATAACTTTTATCAATATATTTTAATGTATTGTTCATATAACTTAGTAAAATAATTTTTAAAAACATACATTGATTATTAGATTCAATTATTTCTGATCCTGGTTTTGAAAGTTTCTGCATTAAAGTGGCATTTGGAAATTGATTCAGTGTCCTGTTTGAAAAATCACTAAGACGTTCGTATTCTTTACCTCTATATATAAAGACTTTATTTTGCAGAAACGATGGAAAACCTTTACCGTAATAAGCTACCCTGAAATACTCTGGTTCAGGTCTGAGCTGTTTCATTATGTTATCATAGAAGTTTGACATACGTTGCAATAGTGAACTAAGCTGTATGTAATCATATGTCTCACATTCACACTGCCTAACTAGCTCTTTACACATGCTAACGGCACACTCCCACATCTGAAAAAGTACATAATAATATAATATTATTAATTTAAGAATTAAAACAAAACATTTTTTTTTTGACATTGTTTTATTACCTTTCCTTTATTAAAATAATCAATAATATCATGGTATAAAGCCTCTTTTAATTGTCTGTGCGTGGTACACGTTGGATATCTCAGTGGAGATCGTAATAAAGGTGGTAATGGGTCATTTGACCATGATAATAATTCACTGTGTAATCTGAGAGTGTATGCAGCTTCGGCAAAGTCATCACATTCTAAATGTAGTGTACAAAGTTTATTTACATACCTAATGTACATTTCTTGTCGTTTTATATCCATATAGAAATTCTAAATTAAAAACAAAAAAATAAAAAAATTTAAATTTAAATCAAACGTAAATATAAAATTTATATTTTTACCAATAAGTTGACAGTACAGTTCATCCTATTTTCTTTGTTTTCATCATTTATAACTGTTCGGTATTCAAGTAAACGCTCCAAAAGACCAGTAACTATTTTAACAAATCGAATACCCTAAAATATAATAAAAACTACATTTAAGAATGTCGAAAAATATTTAATAAAATTAAAATTAAAAAAGTAGTCTTGGGTTAAAATAATTTGATTTCTACAGTTTTATGACTTAGAGATTAAATATTTAAATTACTAGATCCCTCATCGTAGAATGATTTTCACACTGCATTAACATTATGGATTTGAAGAGTTCTTTGAATTGTTCATCGCCTTTACCTCCTTCCACCAAGAGATCAAGTTTGGCAATCATTTCATTTTCAAACTATTAAACATAATTAATTTGATAAAATAATTGGCATTTCAATATTTAAAGAAAATTGAATTTAAATATAATAGACTTACATCATTGAATTTGGCTTTAATGTTACTTGAATCCCTTTTGTTTGCATGACCATCGAAACATGAATAAAATTCACATTGCATCATATCAAAGAATATGGGAATGGTGGCTTTCCGTAATTCAATTTCTGGTGTTAAAATCATTTCTAGGAAGGAGCCTACTAGACTAGGCACAAAATTAACTTTATACTGTCCTATACAAAGCAAAAAGAAAAATCAACAATAATCAAATTAACCACTATTAAACGCAACTTACCCAAGTTGAACCACATGCTACGAATTTCAAATCCTGTCTCTCTACGCATGTCTTTGTACCGACTAATGATACGCCAACGTTTATTGGATGAGAACTGTTCTAGCTGAAGAGATGGCTGTGTTAAGAAAGTGACAGCACAATGAAAGAAATTGTTCCATGCTTGGTGTTCAAATTCTTTGAAAAAATAATCACGAATTGTGTGAGAAAAGTGCCTTAATGATTTCAATATCACACTGTAAGCATAAAAATCAATGTATATGATTAACAATTATTGAGTTTTCAATAGCAAACAAGAAATATTAATGATAATAATATTATTACGTTATACCTGTTTTGCAACATTATCATCTCGCACCAGTCTTTAGGAAAAACTGGTCGAGATACAAGATCTTTGAAAACTAAGAGTATTTCCATTAGAAAATCTAACAGATCAATTTTTGTAGGAAAATGTTTAATGTAGACATCATAGTGTTCAGCAGTCATTTGTCTTAACATTGATATCATAATAGATACTAAATAGCCCTATGGAATAAATTTAAAATACTCACGTACAAATCATATAGGTAAAAAAAATTAAGAGTTTCATATCACATGTCAATTATTACTTACCACTAGTGGCCCGTCACGGTCCATGCCTATAGTGGTTTGTATTACTGTACGCATTATTGTGAACATTATTTCAGTGATATCCCGAAATGTCGATCCAGTGTCAGCCACGTACAACAAATCCATAATGTCGCCTAACAGTTTTACACACATTTCAACCTATAATGTGGACATCATTATCATACAAACAAGTTAAGATAACAGTGAATTTATATTTTTCTAAGAAAATAAATAAAAAATCTTTGTAGAAATACATAAAACCATTGATTTTAGAATATATAAAATCAATAACTAAAAAAAAAAAACATAATATTGCAAAATACTTGTGAAATCCAACAAAATGTTTTTTACATAAAAATAATGATAATATCAGTTTTACACAAAATAAAAAATATGCTTTAAACATAAAAGCGAAATATATATATAAACAATATAATAAAATAGACAATCTTATGAATGGTTGAATGCTTTGTTTTTGTAGTCAATATTTATATTTATTTTGTTTAGTCTATAATTGAAAAAGTTGCAGATTACAAAATAATTCATAAAATAAAATACAGTAAACTATACATATTTATACAATAATATATTTTCAATACAAATAAATGGACAAGAAATAAAAGGTATATTTTTTAATTTACCGTAAACTTGTCTTACAGATCTATTTTATACTGATTATATCTCACAATCCATTATATCCATGAGTGTTGATTAAAATTTAAATAGAATAAACTTAAACCTAAACAAACAATTGATTTCACTACCATATATTTATAAGATTTTGAGAAGCAAGGAATGTATTACTGTGTACCTTTTATTTCCACAATAATTTTGTCAGAAAAACAATTTATGACCAGAAACGAAGAATTTATGACTCCAATCATTAACTTCAGGGAGGGAGTAGTAAAACTGTTCTAGTTAGTGCCTTGAGATTATTTTTTTTCTTTTTCTTTTTTTTTAACAATAAGGGTAAAAATTCTGTAAAACAGAAATATTTATACAATACCTAAATATTTCTGTTTTAGTTAAGTGAAAAATAATAGGGGAAACCTGAAAATTGCATAGAATACTAGTATTATACTAGTATTTTCTATACGTAAAATAATTTTCTAAATACAATGTAGTTTTTTAGTTATTTTGAATTAATTAGTTTTTAAATATTTTTGTGTTGTATCAGGATACAATTTTGTTAATTTCATATAAATAATCGAAAATTATATAGAAAATTGTTCATAAGTTGTTCTTTAGTAATACCACAAATCCATAATCACAATTTCTTTTTTTATTAATTTTAAGTTCACAATTAACATAAAATTTGTTAAAAACACAAACAAATGCAAGTTATTTTGTATATATAAATTAAAATAATTTAAGTTTAAATTTATCATCAAATATCATTCAAAATCAATTTTTATATATAACATCTCTTTATATCCAACCTTCTTAATTTCCAACCTGTAATGGACCCATGGAGCAGTGAGTACATTTTTTTTTTTAATCTACGTAAAACAAATTATGCTACTTGTATAGTGTTATACCACAGTAATTCTTGTGGCTCTACATAAATTATTTATTGATTATTATTGATATACATATTATGAATCAAATTCAAAATGTTAGTTTATAGATTGCAATCGCTATTGTATAGAAAAAAATTCATTAATATTATTTACGAGCATGATATAAAGTCACAACAATCAATTTAGTTTATTATTATTAATTATTATACAAAGTATAACAGGTATTATTATTAATTGAGTATAAATATATAATTATAATTATTAATTAACATACTTGATCACTTATGTCAGGAGAGTCGAGTAACTTGCGACCATTTTCTCCCAGCACTTTGGCAATTTTTGCTACCGATTTTTGGTTTCGAAACTCGATGATAGTTTTGGCCTGGAGGAGTTTAATAAATACTACTAAACATCACCTAACGAAGATTTTTTTTTTTTTCTTTTTCTTATAACTTGTGTTTAAGAAATATTAGTAGGCACAGAAAAACTATAGGTGTATAGAAAATTAAGTTACATTAATTCAGTCATAATAATTATTAAAATAAATAAATTTGAAGTTGTTTATTGCCAATTAAAATGTTGTTTACAATTTGGAATGCAGTTTTTGCTAAATAAATAATACCCATTAGAAAAAAAACATTGATTAAAAGTTAATAATGTTAATATTATAATAAAATACATTAGATTTAAACACAATTTTAATTGTATATTTATTATTTAACAATAATTAATCAACTCTTTTAGTTAAAATTATTTAATGATGCAGTCAGTATTATTATTGTTTTTCCTATTAATGATAATAATAACTAAAACAAACATATTTTTATATAAGTATTATACTTGAAAGCTCAAACATAATATACTAATTATAAATTATGTTTATTATGTTTATTATTAATTGTAAATCAATTAGAAAAATAAGGTTGTTATAATAGTTAATAAATAAATAATAACTATAATGACTGAAATTAAACTTATGATTCATTTATTATTTTGACTGATTTAAAATGGCATTTAACCGCTTAATGAAAATCCTCGTTAAAGATGCAAAAAATATTTATGGAATTTATTTAGTTTCAATACAACCCCAAAAATAATCATCTCTTTGGTGTTATTATTTTTTGCCCAATTATATGTAAGTAATAAAGCAATACAAGTTCATGCAAATTAGCACAACTAGTGATTTGATAGTTTAAAACTTAAAACTCTTATTATACATTTATTTATATTAATCACAGGTGTACTATATTAAGTATTCAGTGTATACAAGTACCACACAGTGAAATATATTAAATCTTCATATTTATTGTATTTTTTATGTTCTTAATTAAATACACATCAATAAACTGTTACTTATGTGTTATTTTCTTGTGATTTTTAAATATATTAAAAAAAAATCCATGAAAACAGTAATAATAATCTAAACAATAACAATAAATATTCCCACCCAATCATTTTATCAAACAAAATACCTTTAAAACCTGTTTGGTATTTTGTAGGATATCCTATTGACCTTATTACAGCCTCTAATCTACTAGACATTAAATGAATCAGATTATATGTTGTTTCTGTTGTAAGTTTATTAAATTTCTCTTGTAGAAGGTTTTTTTTAGTTTCCTCACTTGAAATACTGTATTCTAAAATTTTCCTGTACAAATGGTCCCACTAATTATCAATAGAATAAATGTTCAAACTTTGATGATGTAACAAAATATTCTGTTACAAATTCAGAAAAATACCCATTGACTTATATTGCTTGGGATCATTAAACTGTGTAACATCATTGATGCTCATTTCTTCAACACTAGCTACAAGATGGGTTTCAAAATATTTAAATAAATATCTTGATTCATAATGCCATAAATAAAGGTTAATTATTGTAAAAATGTTACATTTTAAATCTAGTTGATGAGTAAGTAGGTCATTTTTTAATTTTTCAATCAGTTTTCATTATAATTGTGAAAAATGTAGAAAGAAATGGAAAGTAAAATAGAAATAAAAGTTTTGAAAGAAAATCTATATTGACCTAGATGTGGTAAAATGTTCAAAATATTTTGGCAATTTATTTATAAGCATTTTATATTTGCTGAGTTTTTATTACATATTTTTTATTTGGTATTACTATGTGGATAAAATTGCGGTAAAAAAAAAAGAAGTTGAGCGTAATGTAGTTATTTTTTAATTTTATTTACCTAATAGTTTTAGTATGAAAATCGAACAAATTGAATGACATTTTAAAACAACAATATAATATGAATCATATTTTGTTTGTAATGGTTTATTGTTGCTTACAGATATAACTAAATATACTACCTTTCTAACTTCCCACATACAGCAGTGGCACAGCCATTAGCGGCATTGACTTTTATTTTTTTATTATTATTATATTCCACTCAGCAGTTCCAATATAATTGTTATTTTATACAAATATAAGTTTTTTTTTTGTAATGATAAAATGTTAGTTTATTGAGAAAAATTATTTATATTTATTTAAAAACATAAAAATATACAATAAATATGGTTATTTATTGTTAATTATCAGTGTATCCATATTGTTCAGATAAACTTATTAATTAAATAATGCCCTTTTTCCTTTAGATATTCCAAAAATAATTCAAAGATCCAGCAAATTATCCAGATTAAATTGTTAAAAAAACACATTCATTCAATACCATTAATTTGTTAAAAATAAATAAACCACAGTTAGATTAGCTATTTTAGCAATATTAGTAAATAAATTGTTATTAAAAACTAATTAAAGTTCTTAAGGTCCCCAAAAACATGCATTATATTTATTTATATTTCTCTGTTCTTTCAAAGAATCAGTTAAAAATAAATAAATGGTTAATTTTTGTATAAATCATTATGATTTATAAATATAATGTAAGAAGTTAACTATGTTCTACAAAGCTTATGATTTTTTAAAATTACACGTAAATATTTTACTTTATATAAAATATATATCAATAAATAACATAAAAAGTAATATTTTAAAAAGCATTAGATGATGAAATATTGTAGAAAACATAAGAATTAAAATAAAAACAAAAATTTGACTGTTATTGCAAGAAATCAGTAAATGGTAAAATAAAAACCATAATATCAAGAGTAAAATAAATTAACCAATTATAGAATAAAGAAGAATTCAAACACATTCAGTGTACTGAAGAAATATGTATAGATGTTTAGTACTCAGTTTATACAACGATGAATAATATAAAAGATTTCAGATATAAACAAATTTAGATTTGTAGTTTTATAAAAAATGTTAACCATATTTATATTAATAATGGAACAATTAAAATTGTTAAATTTTATTTCAGTAAAATCACATAAAACAAATCAAGATTGCCAATGTGCTGTGAGTGGTAGGCCAACAAGCAACCATAAGGTAAACTCTCGCAACACTGAAATATGTTAAAATGTTTATAATATTATATTATGTTAACACACAGGTTTAGTTACACACAATTCATTCCAGTTTTATTTTCAAATACATATAAAAACAAACACTATTTTGTTAGAACAAAAATATTAACATTCATACAGAGTATCAGCAGGTTTGAAAACAATTTATACTACAAGGCTTTACCATAAAATCATTAATTTGGGATACAAATATTGAAATACAATTAGGGTTATATCATATACACCAGTCATCAGGTTAAGGTTAAAAGTAAATTTATGTTTTGAAATTTTTATAACAAATATTAACTATAAGTGTAAAGGTTTTTTCCCCAAGTTATAACCGACAGCAGTGAGAGATCTGTTTTCACAATACTCCTCTACTGCTGCTAAATTATAAAAGTTAATACATATAAAGTAACACATAATCTATAAAAAGTTGTTAGATAAATCACAATATATCACAAACATTCATTACTATACTTCACAAAGAAAAAATTTAATATTTTTTAATAATTAGGTGCTGAGTAAATTCTAATGGAAAGCCTTGTGTTTGTACTATAAAAAATTTTACACATAGAATAGCTCAAACTAATTAGACACTCTGTATGTGGCAATATTGCAGGTTATTAAATACATGTCGCCACTTGTTTTTTTTATTATTCTGGACATGAGCATGCATGTTGCATAAATCAAGATGCAACAAAATATTTATTAAATGTAAGTAAATATTTTTATACAATCAAGTATTTACATAATACCATTATTTATATAATGGTAAAACCAATTTTTTGATGAAAACTAAAAATATTAGTTATTATACTGTGATTGATAAAAAAATGACATATATTATAACGAAATATTAAATTTAATAACCCATTTAACATTAAACACATACCTCGTCAGCAGATTCTATAAGTTCTTTAATTCTAGCAAGAATGGATGGAAGTAATATAGCTCGACAGTCTGCATTTAAAAAAAGTTGACTATGAACTATATCTTTCATGGTAATTAATTTTTGTTTTACCAGTCTGGATGGAGGCACATTACCCACCATTTCTACTAGTAATGAACTAAAAACACATATATATACATATAAAACAATGTTTTTCTTTAAAACTATCAATCATACCTTAATTGTGTAACGCTAAAGACAGTCATTATATCAGGAATAGAATGTGGTACATATTTAAGACATGCACCTTGAAATAAAATTGTTGAATCTGAATTATTGCACATTAAATTTGATACCAATTTCAACATTTCATACATTGACATTTCAAAAGTTTGTTGTCCTTTGCCTTCATACAATCTAAAAACACATACTTATTATATACTTAGTTAATAAAATATAACAATAAACAAATAAATTTATGCTAAATATTTGAAACCATTAATGTTAATTTATTATCTAAGACAACAGGAATGATACCTTGTAAAATATACTTATAAGTGACAATAATAAGAAAACACTTACTGTGAAAACAAAAACCGTGATCTGGCAATAAATTTCATGATATACTTTAACGATTTCATTATGTTTAAAAGGAGATCTTTATCGGTTTGTTCCAAATTGCTTAAATAGTACTTTAAAACTACTATTAATTTACTAAAACAAAAAAATAATTTAATAAATACAGAAGCAACTATTATAATGACATTAAAGGAGCAAAATAGTATTTTATTCCACATTGTATATACAAATAGAAAGCTTTTTACTCATGATAAGAACATATAAAAACATTTGAACTCACTTATAAGCAAGAGTTGCACAGAAACTTTCTTTTATGTACAAATCTAGAACTGGTTGGAAGTGCTGATATTTTCTATCGGAAACTAATCCAATAATATACAACTACATACAATTAAATAAATAAATATGTATGAAAACAAAATTTGTACTTGAAAATGATTACTTACTAAACAGTCAAACACCATGTTGTCAAAGAGATCAGAATCAGAATTGTGCATAAGAATGTTAAATAATGCATCCAAAACATCTTGTAAAAATTTTACTACTTCTTCACCATCAACTTTCATTAAAGCTAATAAACTTTCCTGTAACTTATCAGGGTGACTTGTCCAATTCAACAAACCCAATAAATCAACTAAAAATAAAATTTATTAGTATTGTTTGGTACTGTTTATGACAGAAAATTGTTAACATACCATTTTGTGTTAGTTTCGTTGAGCAAATATTTGTTTGTATCATAAACACATCTTTATTAGCCAAGGATAGACCTGGTACAGATATACGATTGTTTGTTTCAATTAATTCAGTTTTTCTTGAAGCAAGACTCAAATAAGCTATGTCCATTGTATCAAATTTTTTATAATCAATCTATAATTTATATAATATATAAAATATTAAATTTCAAAAGAAAATAATATATTAAATACCTTGTACACCAAGAGTTCATGTAATGTATCTCTCAAGGTTGTACCATTGTCTTGCATTAATTTAACAAATGATAATGCAAATGGTTTTTCATTTTTATCTTTAGTTTCATTTGATGATCTGTGTTTGAACATAAACTTCAAGTGACTACCTTTAAAGTCCTCAATCGGAATAGCTAATTTTACAATTTCATACCACCGTGGTTTATCTTCATGATAATAAACAACAGAGTTAAAATCTGATAGTGGTTCAGAGTCACCACCCAACATGATTACACCCTAAAATATGTAAAACAATACTATTAATGCTTAACATTTTTAATACAAAACATGAATAAATTTAACTTACTAGTAGCTTAACACCTTTTTCATTACATGCTGTAACAGTAACTTGAATATTTTTGTCAGATGACATACTGCCTCTTGAGAACTCTCCTTGTACCAACATTAAGTAGAGATCATTTCTCACATCACCAGGTAATATTACTTCAGGGAAACCCATTTTTCTCACCAAGGCAACATTGCCTAATACTAAATGTGGATATTCTTCGCGCACCTAACAATCATATAAATGTTTAAATATTGATTACACTTACAATATGTTAAAAATAAAATGTTAATACCTGTTTTATATCCCCGTGAAGCAATTTAAAACTAACATATAAACCTAGACCTTTGTGCTCTTTATGAGAATAGTCTTTTAGATTCAAATACCTTTTTAGTGTATTTTCTAAATTATCTTTTTCACAGCTAAATTAAAAAAGAAAATATGGATATAATATGTGATAAGAAATTAAATGTAAACATACTAACGGTAAAAATGGCATAAAATGATGTGTGTCTTCATCACTTTCCAATTTTTGAGTAAAATATAAAGTTAAATCTAAGGCTGCAACACCCCACGGTCTACGTATTTGTGTTGTTGCCAAATTCTTTTTACTGCTATTATCACAATCCATACCGCCAACTCGTATTACATAACATACTAAATAAACCTTTTCTCTAGCTAAGTCTCTAGTTCCCAAATCCTATACAATATTATAAAAATAAATTAAATAATATAAATTCTAAATTGAATATTTGATTTAAGATATTACTGTAAATAAAGCTCTGAAATTATGAAAAATTTCAGTTTGAGACCATCCTTGATCCATTTTACTAGTGGCCCATCGTACAACAAAATTTTCAGAAAATGATTTACCACTCTTTGCATCGTATAATGTCAACAACAGATCTGCATCATCAGTTATTTTGCACATAAAATTGTGTACAGATAAATACACTGTATAGTTATATAAATAGTTGATATTTTGTTTAATTGGCTTTTTGTAAATTCCAGTAGTCTATAAATAAGAATAACTGAATAGATATAAATATCATTTAGGGATATGTGAAATAAATTAATATTATACATGAGAATTTTGGATGCGTTGAGTGGCAGTTTCATGGTGTTTGTATAACTGGATGGTTGGTGTATGTAGTGGATTTAATATATTACCCTGTTCATCTCTAACCACCATATCCAGTCCCAATAACCTAAATAAATTGACACAATAATAAATAAAAAAATAAGTAATTGTAATAATAATAAACATAAAAATTCAATTTAAGTCATTGCAAAAACAATGATGTCATAAATGAGTCACCCACTACATAATATTACTTCTAGTATATTAATTAATTTTTACATTAAAAAAATGTACAAAACCATGAAGAATTAATCATTATAAAATTGTTAGTTATTAATTTACTTGTTTCCAACATCTATGGTAGATGTAGCTAGTCTTTGTACTTCTTTCAACTCATCTACTGGAAGTGTGCCAGATAATATTTTACTCCTAAATTTTATTAATTCATATATTTTATTTTCTACATTTTTAAAATTTGAGTTGTGAGACTGAAAAACAAATAAAATCACTAAAAATGTTTATACAAATATTATTGATTTCCATACTATATATAATTGTTTCCATATGGCACCCCATTCTCTAATAACGCTGGTTAATTCATGAACAATTTGTGGTTGATTTAAAACTGTCAACTCGGCAGGTCTAATTAAAACACATTATTATTCATCAAATAATATTTAAGTTTAAAAATTAAAACTAACCCAAACTTCTCCACGATGTTGTCCATGATATAAACAAATTTTTTAGGAAATATCCCGTGTGTTGATTTATTTTTAAATGTAAACCCGTAGTACCAATCAGAACATTCTTCCAGAACATGAACACACTCTCCGGCCAACAGCTTAATTCGATGTGGTCCATTTTGCAGATAGTTATGAATAGCTAAAAATCAAAACAATGTTAACTAACTCAATTCAGGTCATAGATTATTAAATTATATTAATAAAAAACATAGAACGTGTAACTAATAGGATATAAAAGTGGTGTGGTTTGTCCCCTTTTGACAGTCGTTGAGTTGTTTTAAAACATTCAATTAGAACTATATACGTTCTCATTGAAATTCACTAACAAGCTCATCCTGTACCTACTAATTATAGGAGTGATTTGTTTGGGAAATATATTGTGTTTGATGGTCAACACTCTTAACAAAATTAGATATAGTTTTATAATGAGAAAAAAAGACGTAATTATCAATTCATTTCATAAATGCCTGTAAATGATATTCAATTATATCATTAACAAATCTATGGAAATTGGCTGACAAGTTGTACGATGGTAGTAAATAAGTAAAACTACCTGTCTATCTAGGTATTGGTGGAGTGATTAAAATTTCTTTTTGGATAAATGGATCTTGTATTTTTTAAAGTCAAAAAGGATGAATATTTTAGATTTAATGATTTATGTGTATTTTCGAAGGAAGATTAATCATTTTAAGATTCTAATACATTGAGGAATATAAACACTTTACGTTGTCACTATTGAATAAATGAATTGAGTCAAAATTATAACTTCAGATATAAATTAACATTGTTTGATAATTTATGAAATATCAATGAATATAGGTACCTAATAAAATATATTATTAATTATATATACCCACACTTAATAAGTAGATTCTTACACAATATTAAGTCATTATTAAAACACTATTATTGAACATTTTCAGTAATATTTACGATTGATTTCAATAATATTTTAGTTGTCTACTTAAGTAAATGAAATATAAACCAAATTAATTCACCAAACTAGAATAATCAGACCTCAAATTAGACAATAAAACACATTAAGACTAATTAAATAAGAATCAATCACTAATATGTAACAGTAAAAAAATCTTTAGTAAACCGCGAAACAGCTAAATAATAATTGGTTTGAAAAAACGATAGTGATAAATTGTTGACAAGTTTTAATCTTAGTATAAATGTATCAATTCTGTGTGCCCATGCAGAAATGACAGTTTAGGTTGGTAGGTTCATCCAATTATATAATATTGTTGGTTGTTTATAATATAATAATATAATATCATCATTACAGTATTATTACCGTAGAGCGTGTACCTACATGACACACCGAGGCACAGCCAGTGGTGTACAGCATACAAATTACTTAGCTAAGCTGTCATCCACCCATCTCCAAACAAGTAAGTAAAATACATTGATTTGTAAGATAACTGCGATAAATCATTAATAATTTTAACAGAATTTCAACAAGTTCGTGATTAATTTATTATTAGAGGGCGGGGTAGACGGCTAAAAAAACAAAGCAAACGCCAAAAGACACCGAAAGCTAAACCGACTTACCGATTCCATGTCTTTTTTGATCGCTGACATGAGTCCAATTATTGTTAGTCATGTCATTAAACTGTCATTTGTTGACTTGTGTCGGCTTCGACTGGGACGGTGAATCGACAGTTTTAGATATACGTGTACTAGGGAAAATACCAAGCCGAAGAACAGAGAATAATACGAGTATTATGGGGACGTGAACAAATCGAAAATGTCACAGTCATCAAGCGTATAAACCCGGCCGAACTCGTTTTCCCGTAAATACGACGACGACGCGATGCATCAAATCAACTGTTACGGCGGAATCGATCCGAAAACAATATCATTAAACACTAAAAACACTAAACTCTAAACAGCAAAAACCCAACAAATTTCACCGTCGCCGTCGCCGTGCGCGTGAAATTGTTTACGTTATCAGCGCGACCACGGGCGCCCCTCCAGACCTGCCTGTTACCGAAATATCGGTAAACGTGATAACAATAATTAAACGACTGTGGCTAAAAAGGTATTACGGCCGGACCCGACGTCCTTCAGACCTTATTTGCAATTTGCATAATAAGAATATTACGACGAACGGGACAAGGGAGCGGTTTTGGTGTTTTACTATGATGTTTTACTACAATGATATTTTTTTTTTCCTGTTTGTGTTAACAAAAAAAAATATTGTTAAACTTTAATACCTACCGGAAATCTTGCTCCGATCAAAAAACGACAAGAGTGCATTTTAATATGTAGCACTTTGGATTTTAATTAGGGAGCATTGGCAACGCAAAAGAGGTACATTTTGAATCACGTGATTCGCAAAAAAAATTACGGATGGGCGGATCGTGGATGCCTGGGTGTTCAGAAATATAACAAAAATGCTTATTTAATCTCCGAAATTTGATGGATTTCATTAAAGAACTTCAAGGAAACTTGGATTTTATCTCTGATCTATAGATTTTGGGATATTTTTGATAGGGGTCAGCGAGTGAAAAATTTAATCGGTGATTTAAAGTAAAAATTACTTCACACCGCCACTGTTGGGGAGGTCATTTTTTAGATTCAAAGAGTGGATGAGAGATCTATTGATTTTACTACGCGTGGTTTTTTTTTCTGTTTGTAAACAACTTTTTGAAAGGAAATCTTACTTCGATGTATCGAGTGTTGCGCCTTTACCAAAAGAAAATTGTATCCAATTGGTGCGTTAAAGAAATTATTTTTTGATATATCAAAGGTATTTCAAAATAATTGTGAAAAACCGGGAAAAAAATGTATAGGCATGACAAATATTTACGGCGTTAGGTACCGATTCCAATGTTTTTAATTTTTGCAAACTACCTAAGTTTTCAACCTGAAATATTGTTTTAATCAAAAAATACCAAGACACATTTTTTTTTTTATTTAATTCTGGATCCTGATGCTCACAAGGATAGTGGTTTTTTTGATTTTTCCTGTAGTTCTTTTAATTGAACAAAATTGAATAAACCGTAGAAATAACGAAACAATTTATGAAAATTTACAAAAGTAATGTAACTTGGTTTAATGTAACTTGGAAAATATTCGTAGAGACTTGACATTTTGAAAGAAAACTTATAATTGCATTTTCTAGACGCAAAACAATTTTTTAAACTATTCATTATAACTTATAAAAGTCATACTCAGTGTTCGAAAAAAATAAATAAAATTTGAGTGTAATGTAGTTTATAGATAGTATTTTATTTTTATATAAGTTTTAGAATAAAATGTTGACAAAAATTATAAACACCGTAAATTGGGTTTACTTGGGACACTTTTAAACTTTAGATGAATGCTGATTGATACATTTTCAAAATATGATAATAATTGTAAGGACTAAAAATTCTGGTCTTGGTTTAGACTATAAGACCCGTATGTTGATTTTTTTTTTTGATTCCCTCCTTTCCATTTTTTTTCTAAAAAAATATGCTTGTCCCAAGTTAGACTCGGTTTTCGCTAACTTGGGACAACTATTGTTTTATATGAAAAAGTCATGTTTAACTACACATATTTTAACTTAAGACAGATTTATTGTTTTAAAACCAAAAACCGTTTTTAAAACATTACAATTTTATATTTTTTTAATTTTTATAATACAATTTATTAACATATTTTAGATTAAACAATGAAATAAATTTTTTTCCTTTTCTTTTTAAGATTAATTGGTCACTTTTTCGTAATACATATCGGATATTTTTGGAAATCCTAATTATTGTCAAATTATCGCCGAAAATAGAAACTATCGCATTGTACTATTACTATTATACATAGGCGGATATTTCGTCATATCTATGTGTGTGTGTGTGTGTGTGGGGGGAGTGCTTGACATTTTTACCTTATCCATTAGGTAGCATAGAAACATACATTTTTTGACACTTTATCTTTCCTATGGATTTATCTAAATGTATTGACATTTAGATAGGTATACTTATTTTCTATGTACAAAATTTAGGTGTTTTTGAACCACTCCTGTAACATAGAAGTTCGAAGCCCGAGTTTTAATTCGACTCATGGCCGAAAAACTCTTTTCAAAAGGTGATGGAGGAACTTATAGACAATTAGAAATGATTTTTATATATTAGAGAAAATTTTTTTTTAACACCATTTAAAGTTATGTATTATTGTTTATAGACTGCAATTCTAAAAATCTTGTTATCTAGGCATGTTGACAGTTGATGGAAAATGCACATGTAGGTATCTGGTATAGATAGATCATAAGATATTGATAAAAAAAAATTCCTACGAAAAAATGTTTGACAAATTTATTTAAAAAGTATGTTATAAGTGCAGTAAAGAGACTGAAACCCGCCCGTGGCTTTAGTTCCCCAATATCCGCCGGTGCTGGTATGCGTAATAATATAATAATATACCTATTCAGTAGAAATCGGTTACGAGTTTCAAAGGCCGGCGATTTTTTCCTCGTTATAAACGGTAAGAACGAGCGTTCATTGTAACCGGTCAGAACGACTGCACTTTGTAAATGGAAAGCGAGAAATAAAAACAGACAAATATATTATATTATATTTTACTAATAATTTACCGAAACCTATGTTGTTCCGTTATCACTTATCAGAAGCGCTGAATCCAAGATGCATTTGAAATTCTCTTTATTTTTCGAACTAGTTTGTCAGTTTTTGCTATAACCGTTATTGTTTCAATCATATTAGCACTGCTACTTCAAGATCCTTGGGCAAAGTGGTTTCGCCTGAAGTACCGCGATTCGAAACATATTTTCTAACGTTTTTGAACCCTTCCATTGAAATTGTTGATGAAGAGACAGTGGCGTACACAGAGGAGGAGTGGCTAGGGGTTATATCCCCCTCCCCATTGGCTTAAAAATACAACAAATTGTTAGAAAAATTCATATATTTCAGTCAAGTTACGAGGAAAAGCTTGATACATTAATTAGAAATTGGCTATTTTTAGTCTAGTTAGGTAGAGAAGACAATTGTACGATTTATTCACGATTCTTATTTGCTTACAGGAAAGTGTGTTCCCTGATTCCCTCCTATTGAAATTTTCCGGGCACACCACTGCGATGAGGTGCTGAATTCTTTTGGAGTCGTACTGTTTTTCTGGCCATTTTTTTAAATATCCAATTATTCTGATTTCTTCATCCAAAAAAAACTTACAACGCGACTTAACAGACGTTTTCGTACAACTGACGTTACTCGCAATTATTATAAACTTGATACTTGGGAACGTTATTACGGCCCTTAAAACACGTGTAACTCCGCTGAAAATTGTACGTTTTTAAAATATTAAATTAGTATTTGTTTTTAAAAATGAAATATTATTAAATCAATATTTATTAATAACTAGATACAAAATATTTTGCTTAAAATGTAAAAAAATAAATTAGGTATATACCTAATCAATATTTTCTTGACTTTTAATTTTAAGTGTTTTAAATCCAACCAAAATTAAATAAGTATGTATACAATTATTAGTTTGATATAAAAATGCTGTGTGGGTTCAGGGTAGCGTAAGTGTTCTTATTTTTCTTGATTATGAATACAACTATAAAGAAAATCAATAGATGACCTTCTTGATGCATAAATTAAACAAAATTTGTTACCAGAAACTAACCACGAAGTTGATGAACATAGCAAGATTTCTGGTAGAAAAGTTATTTACAGATACAACAAACAAAATTTAAAGAAAGCTTACAATGCACAATGCTTAGAGTTAGAAAAAAAAACAAAATGCACATGAACAGGCTAATTTTAAACACTGAAAGTTGTCATCAAAACTTACGATGCGTCGCGGTTTTATGACTCTCATCATCGTATTTGTATATATTTAGCCATAGGTATACGACTGTAAAATTCCATAAGTTTGGTACTGTATACACCTATACAGTGTACCCTACAGAGTTATTCGTCGGCTAATAACTCTAGTCAATATTCATTTTTTTTCATAATCGGGCTTTGTATCAAAGGCAAAAAGTGTAGAGAAAAATTAAAATTTTATTTTCATCTGTCTCGATAATTGAAAAAAAAAAAACTTTATTTTATCACTTTTCGAAATGTTAAAAATAACTATTTTGTAAAAGATATTATTCTAAACGAATTAATGTAACATACATTCATATCCGATTAATAATTTCTTAATTATAGCGGCTTTAATGTAAAGAAATTAGTTGTGAAATTAATTTGTTTTCAATAGAATAATACGTTACGAAGTAAGTACAGTAATTCCTAATCTTCTATTGAATATTAATTGTTTTCATTCCTAATTTCTACACATTGGAGCCGCTATAGCTAAGAAACTGTTGACTGGATATAAATGTATGATACATTAAAATTTTTAGAATAATATCTTTTACAAAATGTTAGTTGTTTATTTCTTTTTTTTAGTATTAAGTGATGAATATACAAATTTTATTTTTCTTTACATACTATATATGTGTCCTACCACAAAATCTGATTGAAAAAAATAAAACAAATATTGACAGAGTTAATAACAAACGAATAACTCTGTAGGATATCCTGTACATTTATTGTAAAACTTCAGAAACATAAATGTGTAATCGTTAAGAAAATTTTTACGTCCTTTTTACGTCGTACAATTTTTTCTTCTTTCTTCATAAGCTATTTGTAACTATTACTTAAAAAAACTGGACCACTAACATTGTATTTTAAATTTTAATATTCATTAGTCTAAAACAGCAAGTCTACTTGACTGAAATATATGAAATTTGGGTATATTATAAATAATAAACAAAAACAGTAACCATACAACTACAAGTCTAATAAAAGAGACTAATCTAAATGGGTATTTTATTAGAAATTTAATATAATAAATAGTAATGTATATAAATTAATGGAGAGGAAATAGATTCAGTCGATTTGGTCTTATTATGTGGGAAAAAGATTAACAGGCAATTTATGTTGAAGGAAAAATAAGTATCTTTAAAAAAATTTGGGTGGATTGAACATCATAAAAATGTAAAGTTAAAGACAATATTACAGTCTGTGTATTGATGATGTGGCAGATTGTTATAAGTAGAGGTTGAGGTCTAATACAACATAGCCAAAAATAGCAAAAAAATTACGTTTCATAGAAATTATTAATCAGGTACTTACCATTTCAAACTGTTAAACTTTTGTTTTCATTAATAATTTTTCAATCAGAAAATAATATGTTTGATATCAATTACACTGATACCTTGTAAAAGTGAATAAGTTTTTTTTATATCAATCATTATTTCATTTTAACATTTTGTTGAAGTAAAACTTTTCACACGCACTAAATATTATACAGCTAATGAAGTTCATTACAGGCATCAGTTATTTTTTGTTTTTAATATAATAGGTTGGTTTACATTTAACTTCATCCTCCATTTTTAACATCTTCGACAAGCCTTTTTAATTCGGCATAAATATTTATCTCTAAGTCTTTTTCCAATTGAGATATGAACAAGTTTCTCAGTCCCTCTGGTGGTTTTCGGCCCTAAATTGCACCTTCTAATTAGAAATGTGTAGAATGTGCTCCCATAATGTCCCAATATTTCATTATCACCTACCATAATAAATTTAATACACACATTTTCCAACAAAATAATGTACATATTTTATTAAAGAATTATTTTTTCAACTATTATTTATAAATCATCATCATCCCATAATGGTTATATCATATGAGTGATGAAACTTTTATCGCAAATTATTTTTTTTTATAATAAATAAAGAATAAAATTTTGAGTTTTACAAACAAAAATAAAATATTAACTATTTTATACATTATGTAAAAAACAAAATATGTGTAATAATAATAAAATAGTAATGACAAAAATAATGTTAAGTTTGATCTTTCTTCTTAGTTAACAACTAACATGTATTAAGCATATTGAAGCAACAAAGTTCAAGTTTTAATAGAATATGAATTATGATTATAATATAATAAACTTAATAATAAATTGAGTAAATGAGTTTTTCAAGAGTTACTTATTTTAATGAAAAAACCTAACAGAAACGAAACAAAACAAAAAAAAATAATAATAATATCTAATAACAATCAAAATGATAAAATATCTCTAAAGAATTATTCTAATATATACTTGTCAAGAATTACAAAAAGCAAATTATTATCTTTGGGTACTAAAACAATAATATGGCTAAGTAAATAATAAAAATAACAAATTTACATCATTTTTAATTATATATTGTTTGAAACTTTGTTAGGCGCTGCTAAATGCGTGTATGGATGCCTTTTGGTTTGACTGTTTTCTAATGAAGTTCTATTTTGAGGGGAAACAGACATACCTAGAACATAAAATTGAATTATGTTATATTGATCATTTGTACATAGTATTTATAATTTTTAAGTATTTCAATTATCAAAGGAAGAAAATAAATACTTCATACTGGGCTTTGTTGATTGTTAGTTCACTAATAATATATTATTTATTATTATTATTACTGTGATATTAATAATCTATATATAACTTCAATTAAAATATTGTTGAAAAATATTAAATATGATGTATGTAAAAATTAGGTTACCGATATTGAAGGGGGTCACAAAATTAAATTTCTAACATAGTCTAAAAGCATTTTTACAAAACTCAATTACTAAATTGCCTTATATTATTGTAAGTTGTATTATTTTTTTAACTAATAAATATTTCAAATAAATTGTTTAAATGAAGTCACTTTTTACTTGATATGACCAAGCCAATCAATTAATACAATTAATTGGCGTATTTAAATATTATAATTATGTCACTATAATTATTATTATAAACAGAGAAAATCAACTATATAATAATATAAAATTAGTAATTATTTATTGAGTAACAAATTTCATATTTATTTTTAAATGGTTAATATTTATAATCATGTTTGTAATATGAATAGAACCTTCTTTTTTTCAAAGCAATAATGAAAAACGTATGAAATCATAAATACTAATAAGTATTTAATATTTTAGATTACAATTAATATTCATACAGAATATATTAGTATAATCATTTTGTTCATGGATGTGGTTTTACATTTATAATAATCAGTTTGTAACAATTGTATTTATAATTAAATCAGTGTATTATGCAACAATGAAATGACCAATGTTTATCCAGAGAATTTAAAGTAAATTTTTTTTTTATAGCCTATAGTATTATCAAAGTAATTAAATAAATTGTCCAACCATTAACAATCATCCTTGGTGACTAACATAGATGAATAAAGCATACAATAATAATTGTTATATATTTTATTTAATTTTGAAACAATAACATTATGTAGAATGTATTATTGATATTCATAAATGCAAAATTAATTGTTACTAAAATTTTAATTGCAATTAAAATTTGGTATAAATTATGTCAAGTGAGTTAACTAATGTGCATCCATATCCAATGCACTTATAGGCATACCTAGTATTATAAAATTATGTTTTAAACATTGAAACAAATATTTTTACTTAGATAATATGCATTATGTATAAATATAATATTAAATATACTTACTTGATCCCACTTTTGAACTCTCAGATGAAGTTGTCATGCGTGAAAAAGCAACCAGAGTGTCTGGAAAATTGGGCGGTGTGGCTGGAGTATTACACGGAGTCATCTAGACAAATCAAATATTTATATGATTATAATAGTCAGTTGTTTTTCATTATCTAGTTGAAATTAACAGACCTGTCCAAATCCAAATTGTGAATTTTGAGCGCAACTTGAAACGGAAGAATCTTGAAAAAATATGCTGAGTGCAGTCTGAAATAAATATATTGTTCGATAAGTTAAACAATTGTGCAAGAGTAATAATATGAATTTGACATACCTAGGTATTAGGTATTAACTATGTTTTGTCGATAGGATGATAGAATAGTTTATGTTATGTACGATAATAATTGATTAATCATGATTAGGTAATATTATGTTATTTAAATTACAATGTTTATTGCCAATTATTTGTATTTAGACTATTAATTAGGGGCCCCTGTTAGGAGACACGGCCTGGTTAGTTAAAGCAGCTGTGCCGGGTGCAGTAATGCAAGGTAGATACCTAACTAAACTTTGACATTTAGCGTGTGCAGAAATGGACCTTTACACAGTAACGCATCATTGACGTATAGTCATAATGATAAATTTGATGTGAAAACATGTTATGAATATTACTGAATATGACTAGGTGGTTTGGTGATAAAACCATATTGATTTATGTCCGCAATGTAAAATCTAAATTGAGCGTCAGTGTATATAATTGCCATGAAACCGAGTTAATGGTCGTGTTAACGAACTATTCGGACGTCACGCCGAAAACATTTATGTGGACTGACCATTGGAGGAAATGATGGCCGTCAATCGGTCTTGATGAGAAGATTGAACACTCAGATACCTAGCTGGAGAGAGATGTTTCGGGGAGATGGTCAATGGGCTTTTGTTTGAAGTTCAAGGTCACAGAGACAACCGCAATAACAACGGCGAATAACCAAATGAACCGAATTACCGTAAACAGATTACTGTTACAATAGCGTAGACGGGCAGAGGCCCGAGATAAGTACGACGACGTTATTATTGAGTATTAACGCGAACAGAGGACGCGCGACGGGAGAGGAACGGTTTGGCGTTCGGAGCATTGTTATTATTGTTAAATTACTTCGAACTGCCAGTGTGCGGCCTGCAGCAACTGTTTGGCTTGGTCTCGGGCGCAACCGGCGGCCAACACGAACTGGTTGATCATCACTTGTTCGCGCAACGAGTCCATGGCGACAAACGACGCCGCTCGATCGGTGACAATAATTTGTCGGCGAACGGGAAGCCGAAAAACGTCTCCGCAGTCGGCGCACGGGGTGAAATTTCCTCACGTCCGGGCAACGCGAGCAATAGCGGCCGACACGCGCCCACAATACGATACAACTGTGCCGGGCGACCGCCGCAAGTTAGTGGGTGTACGTACGCCCGTCGTGGCTCGTAGCGTCCGGGAGGAACAATAATGGGAAGGTATACAAGCAATCGAAACGGCCGTGTCTGCAACTGCCGCTGTCGTCGCGCGCAGTACGATTATTCGGGAAAAGACACTTTATTTTCGTAGGCGATTGATACCGATGTTGTTTTTACGTTACCGGTAATCAGCGCGGACGAGTAGGTACGAAAACAAAACAAATACAATGTTATACACGGTACGTACGTCGCGCACACACAACACGGGACGCGTACGGGGCCGTACGACAAACGCGGAGTTGACGGACGACGGAGACGACCGCGTTCGGCGGGGACGGGAGAGAGTGAGACACACGGATACGGGCGACCGTAGGCGAGAAAGAGGGAACGACGAACCGGAGGGAAAAAACAAAAAATAATAATAATAATAATAGTAATAATAATAATAATAATAATAATAATAACAACAATAATAAAAACAGTCAACAGTGGCGCTGTGCGGTCGACAAAAACATACGCACGCACACGCTCTCACCGCTAACACTCGCACACGCCGGCACAATCTCCGTACGCGGCGTAGATAAGTATGCGCGCGCGTGCACCGACATTTCCACCCTCTTCCCGCCAACGGTGTCGGCCATCCACGCTTCTGATAGGCGGCGTTCCGACCGCCGCATCCCCGGCACACGCGCACTGCGTTACGACCGTGTGTACACGACCTATCGTAAAAACGACCGCGCGGCGGACGTCGCACCGGTGACGCCGCGCCGTTTTCGTCCCGGGTACACGACCCCGGCGCAGTCCCGGTACCGTACCGTTCGGTCGGCCGCCGTCAGCTGTTCGAACGCCGCCGCCGTCCGCCCGTTTGTAAACACAGTACTCCGGTGGCCGCGGCGTACATATTTTATTGCCGTCGTCAGCTGATTACGGCGGTACGTACGTTTTGTGTTACACGGCCGCCTGGTATAATAATAACAAAAATTTGTACCCGGATGGCGTCGACGACGGGCCGTGCTGCTCTAACGCACTAAATGCTCGGTGTCACGGCGGCCGCGACGACTTTCACGTTCCGACCGATTGACCGACGTCGTCCGCGGTACTTTCGGCGACTCGCGGCGCTTTTGGATTAAGGGGGGGGGAGCTACTCTAGGTCTTACTATAATGTGTATTTTTTAAAAACTTTTTTTTTTTTTTTATCATCGTCGGTAAACAACTTTTCTACGGAAAATCTCGCTCCGAAGTGTAGAGTATAGTATCAATATCGAAAGGAAATTTCGTCCGGTCGATGCGTAGATGTCATTTTTTTTTTTATTTTCGATATTCCGAGGGGTTTTTGTGAAATAATTTGGGAAAAACCCGAAAGAAAATTATAGGTGAAACGGCTAATACGTATTTACGGCGTTACCGAATTCATTGTTATTAACTTTTGCGACTTGTGTTTTCTATCGAAAATATTGCTCCAATCGAAAAATGACAAGTGATCGATTTCGTTTCTTTCAACGCACAGCCGGATAGGAGGAGAGTCGTTTTTTGATATTCTTAGTATTTCTCGGTAATAATTGGGAAAAATCGAAAAAGGCAAAAAATATGATTTTTTTTCGTTTCTGTACAAGTTACAGCGCGACGATACATTTGTTTTAAATTTGCGAAGCTTATGTCTTCTCGTTAAATTTCGTTGTCCGCGCGTGTACGTGTCGTATTTTGCGCGCGACGTATTTCACGTGCACGTCTGCCGCTATACGCGGGTACCTATTGAGTTTACATTGAGACGGTGCAGAGTCAATAGCGCCTTCGATACGCGCATCCAAATGGATCGACCGGCCGCGACGGCCGAAACGAGATCCACTGGTCTACGACGACCATAAGCGCAACCAGGGGGGGGGTCTACTAGGGGCTGTATAGCACCCTCGAAATACCGAACACGCATTTTGTATAGTGTCGACTGAATATTTTATCCACACGTACCACATAATTAATAAGCGGAACAAGTATTGATAATCTATTGTCGATGCGTGTGTACATAAAAATTAAAGTTGAATAGGTCAGAACGTGGTATAGTTTCAAGTGGCGAATTGAAAATTAAACGTGCAATTGCGTTATATTAGTGTCGCGTAAAGGGGATCGACCCCTCTCCCCGTGGGTCTGCGATGTGTCTATAATTTTAGCACACCGTCCACAGAGTCGGTGGTCCAGTTGCGCCAATGACCACGACGTCCGTTCGGCCGACGACGGGGTAGCGCACAAGACGTGCACGCAAGCCGGCCGATTTGTAAGTTCGTTTTCTCGCTCTGGCGTCTGGTTAGCTCAAGACGCACCGGAGTCGGAGGCGTCATTTAAACATTCGCTGGGGTGGGCCATAATAGCGACCGGCCCAATAGGTATAAAACTGGATTTTTCAGTGTGTACCGATCCACTATCGTGCTTAAGCACGTTGCCCGCGTGTGGTTGTCATTTTCGCCGCGATATCTGTTACGCGGCGCATGCGTAAAACGCTCAACAATCGTTTCGGAATCGAAATATCGTACAGAAACGAAAAAAAGAAAAAATGCCGACCCGTCGACAATGTTCTCGGGTTCGAGTCCGCTAAGCGGTCGGCTCGCTCAAACGGCGTAGGTACACTCGAGTGACCGACTAATTTCGATTGTGCCGCGGGCCGGAAAGATCACAAAAAATCGAGAGCAAAAATTTAGCGCTCTGACAACACGCGGACGCCTGGCGAAAGAGACGCCGTCCGGACCTAACCTACCCGATAATATTATTACGCGCGTTACAACGGTAATAATGATAACAACAACAACAACAACAACAATAATAATAATAATATTATTATTATTATTATCGTTATCATCCGTCGACCGAGTACGTGAACACCGTTTAAATTCCCGCACGTCACGGGCGTTGCGCAATTTCGACTGTCTAAACATTTGTTCATTATAATTATGGCCGTCCGGACGCGTTCCGAATATCGAAAGTAACCGCGGCGGCCACCGCGCGCGGACCGTTGAACCGGCCGAGAGGCTATCGGGTTTCGATACGGTTTCGCCCTCCCGTCGCCCTCTCGCGCCCCCCCCCCTCACCATTCTCCACCGCACCACCCCTCCGTATCCCCCCACCGCACAACGCGTTTTCCCGTCGCACGATGGGTTCGAGTATTCGGTTGAACGCGCGGCGGCGGGCTCATCAATTCGATTCGTTAATTTTAACCGCGAGCTTACCTGTAATTTACCGGCCATAATTTTACCTACGACATATATTATTGTCGTGTCAATAATAGGGCGCCCCGCACCCGCATCTACTGTCGTCTCAGTGCCGCTATACCGAGCGGCGATAACGTGTAAAAACGGTGCTTACGCAGACTATAAGTAAAACTTAGTGCTCGATTTCGGCGTTTTAGAATGAAAGTACCTGTTTATTATATGCAATTTATAGAGAACAATATTCGGGACGGAACTTGGGTCGGGTTTGTTGTATTGTTCTTAAATGTAGAACTAACTGCGCTCGGAATCGTCTTTCGTCAGCAACGGTTTGTCGTTGCTTACAGATATAACGAAATAACTTCATGTAGGGGATATCCTACCTTTCCAACTTCCCACCTACAACAGTGGCTGCACCCGTCCCCAGTATCAGCTCTATTTTGAATAACGTTATTATTATTTTAACATTATTTATAAAAGTGGAAAAACACATTGGATACAACGATTCGGTTCCTCAATAAGTAATAATTTTTTCACTATTTTTTAAAAAAAAAATGAAAAAAAAAATAATAATTTCTAATAGAAATCGAAGAAAAAATCTATGGGGCCGCGAACCACCGGTTGGGAAACACTGTTCTAAATACACAGCTCGGTATTATAAGTTTTTTTTTAGTATTTTTAAATAACTGTAACTTTTTAAAAGTTAATAATTCAAAAAACACCCATGAAATTCTCTCCAAAATATTGTTCTCGATTAATCTCATAATATAGGTACATGACTCTAAAATCGAAGTCAACTTCTAAGTTTTACTCACTTTGCGTAAGCATTGTTTTTGCACGTCACTCGGTAGTTGGACTGAGACAGTAGATGTGGGTGTGGCGTCCTCTTAACAATAAGGGCAATATTATAACGATCGAAAACTCGTATTTTATTTGTTCGCGACGACAACGGCGTTCAAATTTCGATTTTGTCGCTTTGCCGTCGCCGCGTCGACGACAAAAACGTACACTCGCTATACTGACTATAGGCGCCAGCAGACGTTTATCCATGAGGGAGGGGAGGAGATAAGTTTTTAAATACCGGAAAACCGGGCCACAAGAAGAAGGAATATATATATATTTTTTTCGTCAAGATAATACGAGCCAAGAATATGGTACTGACGACAAAATTAATTGGGATATAAAATATTCGAATTGTTTCATTTAAGATAAGTCTCAATTAAAAAAATTACTTAATACCTAGTACCTACATAAAATTATATATATATATATACATATATAACATCATAGTCTTCCGCTGCCTCACTCTATTGTATTCAGGATTTCACCGCCCTAACATATCCCTAAAGACACAACGAGCCTCCTATCTTAAACAAAGTCTTCCTATAGTGTTCGTTATTCGATTGTGTTGTTTGCGTTTACAGTCCTTATTGGAGTATTGGATTATACTTCTCAATAAAATGTTGTTTTATATGATGCTAGTGCGTTGAAAAAGATCACTGAGTAGTGGATTTCTCGATTGTATCTTATCCTCCGTGCATCCTTGCATGTTCCAACATTATTATTCTTTTCAGAATTTTTCTTTTGAAAACTTCCGTTTCTTTCTAAGAGGTCATATTCTAGGGCTCTTTATATTTTTAATTTTAGTATATTATATGTTTGGTTTTTTTTTTTTCAATCTTCATAATATAGTTCATACGCTGATTGTTCTGCGTCTATTATTGTACGATTTCTTGTGATAACGGAGTACCTTATTTCTCTATCCTATATAGGTACACACTATTATCGCATGAGCTTTTCCGTTTTCGTACTGTAAGTCGACTGCACAGTATACCAATACCCTATAACCTTTGATTTCGAAATATCAAATAGATTACAAGCATTGAATTAGTTAATCTATTTCACTGTGTATTATTTATACCAACCTTTCGGCCTTTTTATTACGGGCAAATGCACAATACAATACAACGTATAAAATATGCAGCGTTTCGTTGCCTACTATAAATATATCATCGAACACGAGTGTACGCGGGTTTTATATAAATGGTATAGGAAATATTAATGCATTGAAATCAAAAAAAATCAAAACAAAAAACATTTTTCACATAACTTTTTAAATGTACATATTTTCTAGCAGAAAACTATTTTTGTTTTCGTATTTTCAAATTTTGATAAAAATGTTTAATAATTTGTCATTCTTAATTAGAATTTTTATAGTATTTGTGAGTATTATTTTGTACGGCTAAAAGTATACCAAATACGATACTGAAATATCGAAAAATACTGAGGTGATACCTATAAAGACCGAGAAATACCAAAATACCGGAAAACACTAGAATAACGAATTTACCGTGATAACGTAGTAATACCGAACTTCCAATTGTATACCGTTTGATGCCAGTATGAAAATAAATACCGTATTTCC